ATGAACATGGCGCACTGGTTATGGCTGGATCCAAAGCTCCATAAAGTGGATTTTTCTTTTTTTCTCCAGTGTTATCAGGTCATTTTGCCAAAATGAAAATTTCTAAAAATGTCTTCCGAAGCAGTCACTGAAAAGCCAGATTTTTGGTGGAGGCGTGCCACAGTAACTAGACTTGTCTCTCAAGTTTCTGGAAAAGAATTCTAGGGCTTAAAATAGATTATGCTTTTCTTTTTACATTAAAGTTCTTATTTAAAAAGTTGTTTTGTGTCTGAAGCCATTAAGAGAAGAATATATAGGTTCATGATGGAAGAGTGGAGGGAACCAAGAGTCCTGAATACCAATTACATCCACATGATTGTTATTCAAAATCAGATTAGAAATGTGGAGGATGTTTTGTTGCTGTTGCTGTTCAGATGAACTCAGATTTTCAAAGGCCAGCTGAGCCTGGTAATAGAGATACGTGAGACGAGGCAGTTTATTCTTGCACATGTGATTTTTCATTCTGGAGAACGAAGAAATCTCATATACATACAGAGAAATGGTGGGAGAAATGAGAGATTGAAAATCAGGGAAAAGGCACGTTGGTATGAGAGATGCCTACCCCTTGTTCGATGCTCTGGTGCAGTCTAGGCTAAACCCGGCTGCAGTCAGAGCCTGTATGTTTGGGAAGTGGTTTTTTTTCATTTCCAAAGAATAATGATTATATTGCCAAGGATCGTGGGCTTTGCTGCTGGATGGCTAAAGACCTTCCTCTCACCTTCCCTGCTGAGATAAGCCTGATGTTACTCTGCTGGGTGATACCTCCAGTTTTCACCCCACTATAACCAGTCTCCGTTGATGTTTTTGAATCTCATCTGTATCTCTGGGTGGATGTGATGAGAACATACCACCGCGTTCGGCTGGATTCGACATGCTGGGGGGTCATTGCTCCAGGTGTGGGGAGCAAGGATGCGCTCTCTGTACTCTCTGATAACCCAGCAGTCATGTCTGTGGAAAGAATTTATAAAAAATATGTTACCCTACTAGTCCGCGGTGCTGCCCCGTGGCCCTGCGTGTCCCCTCTGCCACATAGCCAGGTATTGCAGCAGGGCTGCGATAATCTGCGTGTTCGGTGGTTTGGGGGAGCTGCGTGTGCAGGCATGGAGATGAAGCATCTGCTACTTAAAGGGATGTTTCTCGAGTCCCTGATGCATAGCTTGGGGCTGTGTCCTCAGAAGCGGAAGGCTTGGGGTGCTGCACGCTGCCTCCCTGGGGTCGTTAGGATAATTAATGTGTGCGTGGCGATGGGTCTGTCGTGTGCGGGTGAGATGCTCAGTCTGCTGGTCCTGTGTACTGGGGCAGCTGGACACGCTGCACTTACTGAGCATCCTTATTGCAGGCTGTGGCTGAAACCTACTTATTCCCCTGAGTCTCTTAAGATGTATGACCAAGAGGGACACACATGGCTACATTAATTTTTTACATCCTTTTAGGTTATATGAGATGTTTGAAGGGAAAATCCCAGCACTGGAGAGGCTCATCTGTGCCTCTAGGAGACAGCAACTTTGGTTTTATACATTAATGCACTGCCTGCACGGATGCATTTGTAAGGCGTGAGGAATCTTCATCTGCAAACGCCACGTTTTTTCACAATTAATATATCAAAACTCAAAGTGTAACTTAAGTGAGAGAAGTGCTTTCCTCAGGAGACATTACGAATCCTGATTTCCTGCACCCAAACCGTATTATTTACTTGCACAAAATTTGCAGCAGCAACCCAGGACCTTATTGTACATCACACAAAACCCATGGCAGATTGCTTAGATTCGAGGCAAAACACAACAGGCAACGGGGCAGCAGTGGGAAGCAGCAGATAAAGAAGGGAGGGGATTATTTTTTAAGATAGTCCAAGCAGAAAAGCAGGAGCTCACCAGAAATATGCTGCATTTCGCTCAGTTGCTTTGCTTTTCCCTTGCCCCACTGCCTGCAGAGGTGCTGCCTTTCCCCAGGCCTGCATTTAATCTTGTACGGCTTCAGCTGAAGCTGGCACATGCTTGCATGCTCTAAACAAAACCCTGGGCTGAATTAATAGCCCATTTCACCTGCCTGATTCAGACCCCGTAAATGAAGGTAACAGAGTAAGGGGGTGTCAGGGTCCCTGGGTAAGCTGCCCCTCCGGAGACCTTTGCCATTCCTTTTTAGCTGGTTTGGGGCAAAATAATCCTTGTGCTTAAGCTGATGTACAGACTATGATATAAAAAAAAAGGTTCCAAAACAGTGCGTTGTGGAAAAATAGATAAGGCTGAAGTGGGGGTGCCAGGGCAGGGATAGTGACCTCTCAAGGACTTTTTCAGGTGCCTGCCGGATCAGCGCCTTGTACATCGGGCCACCAGATGCTAATCCTGGGCTGATCTTTCGGTGCTTTCCCCGTGGGAGAGGAGAGAGCTTTGCCATGCCCACAGCCCCCGCTCGCTCTCCTCTTGGCGGCAGGCGCTGGGAGCAGGACATTGACCCCACGCAGGGTTTCCAGCATGCCTGGGGCTTCTGGCGTATGCTTGCAGTGATGCTTTCATCCTCAAATGTTTTTCGGAGACAAATGTTTTCCTGGCCAGGAAAGGGAAACCTGCGTGTGACCATGCAGGGCTGAATTATTTTAGAGCCTGGCTAGTGTCCATGGATGCACAGCATAACTGAAGCAAATGTCTCCTCTTTTTTTCAATCATATAAATAAACTGCGGATTGATTGCTTTAGCTTTTGCACCCAGAGTCCCACGTTCTCCTCTGTAGTTCCAGATTTCTGATGATTTGCAGATTTGCCGTAGCATACCGCAGGCTTTGCAGGGTGAGCAGCTGTGGGGGGGGTTTGCCAGGCACGCCGGGGAGGAGAGGGGAGCGTGCCGGGGATTGCAGGGGTCCCCGCACATTAGGGTTCCCTCAGGCAAGAGTTCAGGCAGCATCGGGGGGAGACTGCCGACATCCCGCTTTCCCACAGGCAACCTGAGCTCGCCAGCCAAGGAACAATGAACCTCCCTGGCCTCTCTTGCCGGGGCCCAGAAACCTACTGCAAAAACTGTCATGCAAAGCCTGCCATGTGGCAGCCCCTCCGGAGCCATGCCGCTGCCCCGCATGCTGCTCGTGGCTGGGGCTCCTCCGTTATTTTCTTTGCTTGCTTTTCGTGGGGGGGGGATAGATAATTTTAAAATGTTTTTGAAGCCTCATCCAAAGCCTGGGGGACTTCTTCTTAATGCTTTCCCATAAAGCTAGGCTGGGGCTCTTGGTAAGCACCCCCTCGCCCTGGCCCTGGGTGGGGAGCGGTGCCATTTCTCTCTGCACATAAGAAGGGGAGGTTTTTGCTCTGTTGCAGGCTCATCCCGGGGACCCAGCCCCCTCACCATGGGGGCACAGGACACCCTGCCCGTCGCCGCCGCCTTCACGGAAACAGTCAACGCATACTTCAAAGGGGCCGACCCGAACAAGTAGGTGCCGACCGACAGGATCTGGGTGTCAATACAGGGGGTCCTGGGGTCAGAACAGGCTTGGGGTGCTGTCAAGGCTTTGGTGAGCATTTCAAGGGATGGGGAGGGAGGAAAGGAGGTGCTCTGGGCTTGGCACATGCGTGCTGGGATGTCACCAGGTGGGGGTCCAGGGTCAGAATGCTCCTGGGGCATCCCCATGAGCATCGGTCCCCATCCCTAGCAGGCTGCCAGCCTTTGCTGCTGTTTCAGCTCACTCTGGTTTAGGACCACAAGAGGCTTGTTCCCCCAGCACAGAGGGTGGGAAGCGGGGTGCTGTCACCGCACCGCCCCTGGCATGAACCCTCCCCTCCTGCTGTGTTTTGAGCCGCCTCTTTCCTCCCCCCTCGGTCTCTGTGTCTGGTGCTGCAGGTGTATTGTGAAGATCACGGGGGAGATGGTGCTGTCGTTTCCAGCGGGCATCACCCGACATTTTGCCAACAACCCCGCTCCAGCAGTGCTCACCTTCCGTGTGCTGAACTACAACAGGCTGGAGCACGTCCTGCCAAACCCCCAGCTCCTCTGCTGGTAAGCCCCCGCCTCACCAGCATCCCAAAGGAAGGCAGGTTTCCAGAAACGTAAGGTGCTTTGCACAAACCCATGGCGGGAAGTATCTTCCTTGGAAGCCTGCCCTGATTTTGGGAAGGGAACTCTGAAGCCCTTAAATATTTGCCTGAGTACTCCCTCTGAGAGCAGCCCCTTTGCCAGGCAGAAGAGCATCAGCAGAGAGGAGCAAGTGCTTTGACAGGGTTTGCTTGTTTTGTGCTTCACTCTGCTCATTAGACCTCCTGTTTGCAAAATGAGATGACCTACAGGTTGCATCTGCTGTGCCTCCCTGGAAGTATCTGAGGACAAGCCAGACATATGTGGGAGGGAGACAATATTTCTCTAAACGTGGGATTAAATGCGGTCCCAGCTGGTGGCTGGCACTACTGTCCTGCATGCTTTGTAGAAAAGCTTTCTTCTGCCGAGGTGGCTTACACAAAGGGTTAATTCTCCCTCTGCAGTGACAACACGCAGAGTGACGCCAGCACGAAAGAGTTCTGGGTCAACATGCCAAATCTGATGACTCACCTAAAGAAGGTATCGGAACAGAAACCGCAAGCCACCTATTACAATGTGGATATGCTCAAATACCAGGTAGGGTTTTTTTGTAAGACAAAACTGTGTCAAAAACGTGTGCTTAACTTATAGACGTAAAAGATGGTATTTCCCCAGTGCACAGTGGAGATAATGTGAGGTGGGGGCATGCTATCCCGCTAGTCACTTCTGTATGTCACTAGGTTGCCTGATTTTGAGCCCAGTACGAACTTTCTATGAAAATACAAGGTATCATCTCCTCTGAAACCAAATGCAATTACCGCGTCTGTAAAATGGGATTTCTCCCTTCACCCCTATGGAAACTAAATGTTTTTTCTGTCATTTTGGAAGGTATCTGCCCAGGGTATTCAGTCTACTCCATTAAACCTTGCAGTGAGCTGGCGGTGTGACCCTGCAAGCACTGACCTGCGCATTGACTACAAATACAATACAGAGGCAATGACCACACCGGTAGCTCTAAACAATGTCCAGTTCCTCATCCCCGTCGACGGAGGAGTAACCAAACTTCAAGCTGTGCTTCCTCCTGCTGTCTGGTAGGAATCACTCCCGTGACAAAGACCTCGTTTGCTGTCTCCGCCATGTCCCTGCCTAACACAGCAATCCTGCCTGCTGGCTGCAGGAGCAGGATCGCCCTCGGGAGGTGTCTGCGGGCAGGAGCTGGGGGCATGCTGGGGACCCAAACCTGTCCTCCTCTTGCAGGAGGAAGCATGCAACCCTACTCTGCTTTTTTTTTCTTGCCGTTCTCACAAGTATGCGGTCAGAGCTGAACGGATGTGCTCAGGCAGCAGAATAACAACCCTTACTTTGTGTTTTGGCTACTTTTATCCGGGGCTCAGAGGGAAGCATGGCCCTTGCTGCTGTAGGCACGGGCATGCACGCTTGCAGCGGGGAAGCAGGGCCTGGCCCGGCCCCACTGCCTCTCGCTCATCACTCACCTGCAATGCAAGAGCGATGTTTTCCTGCTCAGGTCAAACCCAAAGCCAAGCTCCCAGAATTGCAGCCCTGGAGAGTGGCACCGGAGCTGCTCCCCCAGCCCACATGACCTTTAGCAAAGTTCAAATGACTCCTTCATAATTTCTTGTTTCCTACAGAAATGCTCTTCTTCATGTGTTTTTAGGAATGCTGAACAGCAAAGGATATTGTGGAAGATCCCTGATATCTCTCAGAAGTCAGAAAATGGAGGTAATCCTGCAAATGTGCATGTTATTAACTCTGAATACTTAAATCAGACACTGACCCATTGATCATGCATGCACACAAGTCCAGACACACAGGTTCCTGCTGGTGCTTGCCAGGGAGGATGCTGTTTAAGTCGAGGAGCAAAGAGCTTTGAAAAGCAGGGATACGTGTCACTGGTACTGTTTTACCAACTGCTTTGGCATCACGGAAGGGTATTAACACAACGGGTTTGGATGTGGTTGTTTGCCAAGTCCTTTGCTCCATTGACCCTCTCTGCATTTGAAGGCTGAGGCCCCACGTTGCATCCCCGTCGGGGGAAATGCAGCTTCCCATGGGTCACTTCTCTGTGTGTCACCCATGCAGCTAGGTTGCTTTCTATCGCTGGGGTGTCTTAAAAGTAAAAATCTGTTGGGAGGATGAGGAGGTTTGCCTCTGGCCACCCCCCAGGGGATGCTGCTGGCTCAGGTACCACTGTAGGAGTGGGTTTCACTTGCAGTACTTGGGCATCTCATTGCCTTTGCTGGCAAATCTGGCCCTGGGATGTGCAGCGTGCCTCTCCGGGCTTGTAAGGGTCTTGTGCGGGACTTTTAAATTGCAGGTGTGGGGTCTCTACTGGCCCGATTCCAGCTCTCGGAGGGGCCAAGCACCCCAGCCCCCCTGGCCGTGCAGTTCACCAGTGAGGGGAGCACACTGTCCAGCTGCGACATCGAGCTTGTCGGCGCCGGCTACCGCTTCTCCCTCATCAAGAAGAGGTTTGCAGCAGGTAGGTGCTTCACCCCTGGCTCCTCTTGGGATGGCCGTGTCCCTGACAGAATCATGGAATCGTTTAGGTTGGAAAAGACCTTAAGATCATCAAGTCCAACCGTTAACCCAGCACTGCCAAGCCCACCACTAAACCATGTCCCTCAGCACCACGTCTAC